TGACTTTTTGACCATTCATTTGAACAAAATGCAGCCACATCGACGATGACTTTGACACAGCGTCAGTTACTTTGGAACCAACTCAGACTAAATGTTCAGTAAATTTTAGATAAGCCAGAAAACACTAAAATAATCCTGGGATGTCATTGATGTAGCTGTTCTCCTTATGAAACTAAGCAGCAATTGTCCGACCAATGGGAATTTGGTTGGAGAACATGTGGACCAGCAGACACCGAAACCAAAGTTAACCCTAAGTTACAAAACTTGGTGAAGCTGAGGGGAACTACAGAGATGGTGATTATTTTGTGTTTGCTGCAACCATGACATCTTTCATGTTAATTGTAGGGCTTTGGTCTGCTGTTAATATGCAGAAGTTAATTAGTGATCTTCTACAAAGTTACCTCGGCGTTTTGAATGCCATTCAAAACGACTTTGTAGAATCATTGCAATGATCATTGCAATGCAGGTTAAATTATGCAGTGAAGCAATATTTTTAATTACTTCAAGGCAAAATCACAGATTGGCTTTTAAACCAGGCAGGATTTAAGATGCACTCTTTCAAAACATTGCATGACAAAGTTTTGAAACATCCACTCCAGCTGCATTAAGATAATAACTGGATCCTTGCAACTTTAATGACTTAAACGTTCTCTGAGCTCGGAGCTGGAGGTGCAACAGGGAGGGGAAGGTAAATAAGGCAAACACACCTCACCACACCTACACGATTAACTCGCACATCGTATGTAGAGTGTGTGTGTGTGTGTGTGTGTGTGTGTTCGTGGCTGATAATGTTTCTCCACAACACAGTAGAATGGAGTAAGAAGAGGAGGGAGGACATGAGTCAGAGGGGAGAGGATATGATGGAGAAGAGGAGGGGAAGAAGGACAGATAGGGGGCAATAAAGGAAAGGTGGATAGGAATGAAGGAGAATGTCAAGAGGCAGATGAAGTGGTGGCAGGTTTGTAGGATCAGTGGAAAGAAAAGGAAAGAAAAAGAAGGAGCTGCCGCTGTGTCACACACAGTACAGGAGGAGGGATATTCAAACCAGTGCTGGTGTGTGCAGTCATTGCCAGTCCAGGTTTCACTCTGAGATCACTTCCTGTCAGTGCTGGAATTACTTAATGAAGACAAGCACACCTGATCTGTCGCTCTGATTGTTCTTTGTCTTTTGCATGTCAGCCATGACTCAGCTTGGTTGGCAGCCTGTATGTGTGTGTGTGAATGCCTTCCTGTTTCCTCCCTGTGCAGCGCTCAGATTTTTGTATTCAAATGATGTGAAATGAGTCAGTGTCAACTCACACAGTTCAGACTGTACAGAGAAGGTCTGCTGTGTCACTCATCACAGCACAGCACAGCTAAGTGAGGTGGATTAAATCAAGTGGTGCTGAATGTTTGACTCAGTCTCTTATGATAACTGAAACTATTATTTTACATTATTTGTGATTTGATAGTCGTTTAGTTCCTGAAGTACTGGAAAATGCTTATTACCGTTCTGACATCTTGAATTGCTTGTTTTGTGCAACCAACTGTTTTAAAACCCAAAGCTTACAACAATTAATCCATTGTTGTTGTCACCCTTTAAAATGATCTCCAACTAATCTGATAATCAATTAAGAATGTTTTTAACCCTCTGAATCCCAAGCAGTTTTTGAGCTTTTTTTTTGCTCCCGTTGCGTTTTTGCTCACAGTGGGCTCATTTTTCACTGCAGTATAAAGTCTTGTACCTCTATGGAAACAGCTCAACCATGACTAGAAGGAGAAAGGACTCAGGGTGACACACTTGTAATGCCATAAATAATAGAAAAGTACTCTTTTCTGTGCATTTCTGTGGCTATTTATCTAACAAAAATTGCAAAAATGTTGATTCATCATGTAGAACATTTTTCCAAATGCTCGTAGGTGTTACCAATAATGGGAAAAAAAGCAGTTGTGACTCAAGCACGCTATAGATGTTTTATTGCTTACATTTTCAGCTTGTTTCCACAATTTTATATTATCTTCTCTGTGTAAACATTGACTGCAGTTCAGGTGAATATTCATTGAATTTTTGTCACGACTGTTGGTTGCAGCTGAGTCACTAATGGCTTTTTACATTTATTTTCTGTTTTCCAAACCCTGGTTAGTACAAACAGTGTATTTATTGGAAATTTTCCAAATGAGACGTGCAGAAAAAGGTTGATTATTATGAGCAATTTTAAATTTGGATTTGGGATCATTTTCCTGATGGAGCAGCACGCCATTGCTGTGTAGTTCAAGGACTGTCGGAAAGTTGGAAATCTGACAATTCTTTCTGTCTCCTCAGATTCTGATTCTGATATATTGTGTAATTTTATTTTTTTTTTACTCTTGTATGACAGTCAACATCAGGTTTCTGTGGCAAAAATGAGTAGTAATAGATCAATAACATACCTCAAACATAATCACACCTTAGAAAAATTAGTTTAATGTCAAAGGAAACAAAAGAAATGCAAAATGTTCTGAAAGTGACAGTCCTGTTGGTTCATCACTTACACACCGACATGTTCTGGTTTGCTGATTACAGTCTAGCAGGAAATGTCTTGTCCACATACAGACACAAAGACATGATTATGACGAGCTCGGCTGTGTGTCTGCGTTTATGTGAGGATGACAGAGGACCCACTGTGGAAGTGATGGAGATCTTCTCCCCAGATCATTCTCTCTTTTTTTCTGTGTCAACATTTACGGGTCATCCCAAATGTTGCACCAATCTCTAACACATGTTTGACAGACAGTTTATATGAGCTGTGTAGTTCTCAAAGATGACCAGAAAACCCACACTTACTTATTGTACAGAGTGCCTTTTGGGCAAGTGGTGGGTGTGGAGGGGATATGTGGGGGGTGTACAGCCATTGTTCAGTCAATTAGACAGAAATGCATGTGTTTGGAAAAACCCCTCCAGAGCTCGTGGAATGTCTATGGCAGACATCATAACAACATATTTATATATAGAGAAACAGCTTCTGTAATCCTGTAAAACATGTTAATACTGCCACCAACCAGGGACATATGTCGCTCACTAATAGTACAGTTTATTCATATGACATTTTTAAATATATGTTTTTTAATTAAAAGCCCTCTGACATGTAATCAGACCAGTGTCTAGTCAGTAGTCCAGTGTTCTGAACTGGTTACTGTGTAATTAAACAGGACAAACAGTAACTAATGTATTTAAACTTTTTAATTAAAGAGTATGTTCTGCAACTAGCTTTCTGATCTAATATGCCATGTGTTTTACATCTACTGATTAACTTAGCGCTTCTGTGTCAAATTATGTTAGAGCATTGTTTTATGAAGTTTAGTCCACATGTACATGGCTATTTAAAAACAAATCCTTTTTCATTCTCAAGAAAAGGAGAAGATCTCTGTTGACATGTACGACACAATTAAAGCACTGTCATAAGCATGTCACACCAACAGGTCGTTTGGGTGAAGTCAGGCACTGGGGTGGTGACAACCAGAGCCACCACACTGAGCTTTAAAAACCGCTTTTCCAGAAACTTGTCACTTTATATAGACTCAGTGGTGGTAACTGATCATGACACCACCTCTGACCACTGTTCTCAGTATAGTCAAAATGTTACTGTCAGTTTGTGTGTAAAGTCCTGTTAGCAAGTTTAGCACTATTTTGCCCATGTCTGCTGTTACACAAAGCTGCCTCATGTTACCAAAGAAGAGTTTGCTGCTCACATGGTTTTCTCTGTCTGCACACAAAGTTTCTGAATATCACATTGGAAGGAGTTTTCCAAACTTCTGTTCTCATTGACCTGAAACTGTGTTTGCATGAGAACGAAAGACCAAAGTGCACAGAAAGCTCACTGATAACTATTAAATAATACCTGTGTGTGTGTGAACAGGGCCGCAGTTCACCACTTGAAATACAAGAAATACATGAATCGAGTTTTAATAGACACTTTGACAAACTGATCCTGCTTCACATTTTCTCTACACACCAACTTGACCTTTCAGAGTAATTCTGCAAGGTCTAGTCTTTTGAAGCACAAATTCAGAATGTCCAAGAAACTGAGCCTTTCTTAAAATGCTAGATAGCTGTATATATGAGAGAAAGAGGGACAATGAAACAGATGGTGAGCATGTCTGTGTGTGTGTGTGTGTGTGTGTGTGTGTGAGATTACCTGCAGACGTGTTTGGTTTAAAAATCATTGCCACTGTGTGTGTTTGTGTGCACACATGAGTTATCATTGTGCCACAAAGTGTCACTGGACCGTGTGTTTTATTATATCAACACTCCTGTCTGTGTGTTTGTGTCGGTGTGAAGTGTGATATTGTAACATCACATTCGCCCAACCCAGTTGTAAAAGCAGGTGGTTTCTTTCTTACATAATATACTAATATAATGACACACACACCCGTATCGTTTCAACACACATTACAATGCTTGTTGTAAGGTCTTAATCAGATGGATTCCTTAATACCATTTAATTAAGCAACAATAGCACACAGACAAAACAGAGCTTTAGTTCACCTGCTGTTGTTGTAGTGGTAGTTGTCTGGTTGTTCAGACCACAGCTACAAGCAAGAACTACATTAATTCAATTACTAGTTGCCTCAAGCTCAGTTTGCTTCAATACAGTGTCAAAAAAAACAGTTATTATCTTTAAAATGCACAGTTGCTGTAAGAGCAGCAGAGACCCACTGTAATGTTGTGTGATATCCTTCTGCTTCATTTGTTTTTTAATGCAAGTTTTTACCACATATATTTAGCCATAGGTTATTTACACGTTTAGTCGGCCTTAGATGGGTTGCAAACAAATCGGAAACAATCACGTAGAGCCAGAAAAATGGTTTTAGATTTCTGTTTTAGCTGCTGAAATCTTACAGAATGTGAATCCTAATAGAGAAGCATGGTCTGCCTTGAGCAGGCATTTTATTTTGTAGTTTCAGTGGTCTAAACTGAGCTTTATTCTGAAATGCCATTGCAGTCTCTTGTCAAACTAAAACTCTTCTTTTGACTGTTTCAGGCGCCACCAAGGAAATCGGCTCAGCGCTAACCAGGATGTGTATGAGACACCGCAGCATTGAGTCCAAACTCAAACTGTTCACAACGTAAGATACAGTCTGACTTCACACACACACACACAACCTGAGACACATACTCACACACACAAAAGACAGTATTATTATATGGTATCTTTTCGAGGGAGGGAAGACAGGTGGAGGTGTGAAAGATGTTGGGTAACACCTTTTATCTGACAGTATGGGAAGTAGACAGTTCATTACACTCAGCTGACATTAGGTCATAGACAAAGCAGACAGGTGTGTGTGTGTGTTAGAGTTATGTGTTGTCCTGGTTTCACCTGTAATCACTTTCACTTGTGCAACATCACAGTAGCTTTTCTGTCATTACTGTCTGCTGTCATTTGAGCAGTTGTCAGTCAGTGACTCGCACGTAGACACACAACATACACTCTCATTAGTGACTTTATTAGGTACGCAAAGTCTAATGCAGATAATAAAGTCTACTTAGGTGTTTGGTCACTGAGGTCATACTCTATATACTGTATATAAATGAAGAGTATAAAGAAATGGAAGCACCTCTTGAGATGATGCAGTCCAGTAAAACACAAACTATGATCGCAGTCATAGGTGATATAAAGGGGTCACTGAGATAAATACTGTTGCCCATTAAAATGTAATAAAGCTTTTGTTTTACAGCCTCATTGTAGTGAATACATGTTTTTGCCAAGCTAATACATCTTTACATTGTAGAGCCCATATTCTGCCTTTTAACTTTTCCCATTAGCTGCCGTTTTGTGCATGTCAAAGGTCTGTAAACTTAGATAGGTGACCCTGAAAACATTTCTTTCGAAGTCTAGACTTTTCTCCCGCTACTTATTTGCATCACCATCTAACACATTTGCATAACACCAGCCTAGTATGTAGTTTGACAAACACTCAGAATAAGAATGAAGTTGTCTCACAGTCAACAATTATTTCCTCATTAAAGCAGCTTCTGCGAGAGCGGCATCCCTGTATTTACACTACGTAACTACATATCTAGCAACTGACCAATTAGATCAGACTGGGCTTTCAGACAGAGTAAGCAGAGGTGCTGCAGCAATGAACAGTATGAGATAGACAATGTTTTTTGTTTCTTTTAAATTAAAGCATGTTACCTGTTTGGGTAGACCCTAACAATACAACATTAAACCTGTAAACATGTATATTATGGGCCCTTTAAGCGCTACAGGCAACATCGTCTCCAGTTTCACCCAATCATCTAAACCAGTGCTTCTCAACAGGAGGGCCACGGCCCCCTAGGGGGCCACAGAGAGCTGCCAGGGGGGCCTTAAGATGGCTGTGAATGTTATTAAGAAGAAAACAAAAAAATATTCTAACGAGAGAAGCTATCTAACTACACAAACAGTCAATCTGTAGTGCTTTATTTGTATGAACCAACTGCCTAGCCCAGTAATAACAAATAAATTCATTTATTATTTACCAGTGTACTCAGTTCAGTCATCAAAGCAGTGACAATATCACTGTTAATACAATGTTTTTGATTTTGGTCGACAAAACAAGCAAAGTAAAGATGTCAGCTCAGGCTCTGAAAAATACTAAAAATAATCAGCAAAGAACGAATGCTGTCTGTAAGCTGTGGTAGCTGCAGCACCATATGAATGAGTAATTAGATAAAAGGTGCTATTCTGATCAAACATGTCAGAGAGTTACTGGTTCAAATCCAAGACTCACTGGAAAATTGATGAAGTCCTGTTTAGCTTGCAGCCTTAATTCAAGACAATGAGGTTAAACACAATGGCTGAGAACGTGAGACATTAAATCTGTTTTTTTCTTTTAGAGCTCTCTCAGAAAGTCTCGTCACTCCACTGGAGCTGAAAATGGAGGAGTGGAAAAAAGTGGCCAGTCAGCTGGACAAAGACCATGCCAAAGGTACGCTAGCAGGCCAACACATGTGCACACTTTCACCTGCACAAGCTCTGCCTCACTCTCAGCTTTTTCCTGTTGTTCAGAGTACAAGAGGGCTAGAGCAGACATCAAGAAGAAATCATCAGACACCATCAAACTGCAGAAGAAGGTGAAGAAAGGTAAGACGAATCGCCTTCAGCTCATCCAGCAGGTTTTCAGGAGCACTGAGTTAAACTGGAACATAAAATTGTCCGTAAAGTTACGTTATCAAACAGTATAAACAAGATGGGAAAAGTTCACCACTGTGGGAAAGATACAGATACCAGAGCTTGTTTACTTCTGAAGAAGAAGCAGCCACCTGTTGAATATGAAAACCATCTTCCACAGAGTGAGGTAATCCTCCACAGTGAGCACATGGAGTCTGTTTGATCCTGCCCTCATTGTGCTGAGATAAGTGTTTTCAGATCTCTGCTGCCTTATGTTATGTCCTGCCTCCTGTCAGTCACCCGGCGCCTCGGGGGAAGAAATAATCCCTCTAAAGCATGTTTCTCTGCTACCATAACTGCTACATCTACGTGAATGTAGATTTACTGTAACTCAGAATAAATAGGTGATTTTATCAGACACTACATCTTTTTCCAATTCAGTTTTCTATAAACAGCGCCATGTTCAAAACGCAAGTTATGATCAGAGCACTTCACATAGCATGGCCGAGACCTTATGATATTATTTTATAGAGACAAACCCGGCTAATAAAAAAAAATAAATCTGATTATCCAAGCACTTTGACAAATAGGAGGAACAAAAATTTCCTTTTCACAGTAGGAAACTCCTGCACAACCAGAATCAGGGTCGGCGGCCATCGGCCTCGACGTGTTGGGGTGTGACAGTAAAGGAGAGAGTAGCAGAGAGACACAGATACAGAGAGGAGAACTGAAGCTTATTCTTCCAATATTGGTAATAAAGGATCATTCTTCCATTTTTCTCATCTTGATACATATTTTATAACATTTGAGCTGATGTGAAGGATTTGTCAAGTTCAGGGTTACAATAATATAACTCACCTGAAAATTACTCAAGTTGTTTTTTCAATGGCAAGTAGACATTTTGCATTAGATAACACTACAGCAGTAGTTTTTATCGAAGGGGTCAGGAACACAGTATCAGGGGTGCCACGGAGGTTAACAGTGTTGGAGAGGAGGTTAAATATTAGTTCTTGTTTCACAAGACTTTTCCTTCTTGTAAAATACTGCAGAATTTTGCAAGAAACGATGAGAGCGGGAAAGTTAAACCGTTTGTTATGAAATCTAAGATGCCAGAGAAGAATGATGATAATCAACAATACATGGACATAAATGACAGCTCAGAGTTGGTATGTAAGTATCGGACACAAGGGTCTAAAGAAAAACAAATCTTTATTTGCCTGACTACAGATAAGCGTAGAATCAATGTCCCAGCAGCCAATCACATAGTGCAAGCATAAAAATTGCTTTCGTCAGTACAGGCCAGCAGATTTTTGGGACATAAACGTAGACGTTATGACTTCACCACGAACTATTTGGTCTTGAACAAGGCTCACTTGTCAGGACTTAGGATTTTATGTCCTAGAACTGAGAGTTGATGCTCTTTAATTGGTATTTATTTCCTTTATTTGGGACTCTTGGCATACCTGCGTTGACCGTGTTGCCCCTGATTATTCTCTGTTATTTGCTCTATTTCAAGAACAATGCGAGGTTCATGTCAGCAGTGATTTTGTCAAAGTAGGCGTCACTTGTTATCTTGCGAAAGGTGCAATGAAATTTTATGCAGTGCACAAGATTGAGGACTCAACACTGAAACAGTGTGTGCTGATTTAAATTTTACAATTGAAATGAGACCTGTTATGGACTCCACTGCCAGTCAGCTTGACTGTTGCCATGGATACATGAACACACTGCCAGGCAGACACCTGGGCTGCACCCTCCCCACTATCAAAGTTACACACCCTTCAGTTGTCATGGTTGCACCTGGCCTTGACATCCCATAACCAAAGAGACCAAAGGCTTGCCAGGAAAGACTGCCCTACGGCCTTATACGGGAGAAGCGGAACGGAAACGCCCAAGCACATGCGCAAACACACTTTCATGCATGCACACACGCATGCACGCACACAAACACACACACACATGCACGCACAAAGACTGAAATGAAACCTCGAGGCCTTTATACAAATATCCTCTCTGTCCTCTCGCTCAGCAAATCCAATACGCAAATGCACAGACACAAAAATAGTCTGTGCACACATCACAAGTCTCATTGCAGACCCGCCCAGGGTAAACAGAGTGATGTCTGATGTGGCTTTAACATCTCTCAACATGTTTTCTGCTACGTGTCTTTTTTTTTTTTCTTCTCTCTTTCTGTCTCTTTCTGCACCATTTCTTTTATTTTTTCGTCTTTCTCAGTCATGACTCCTGAGGTCAAACTAAATCACCAGCATAGTTTTGGGCTGTCTAAATGATCAGGGAAAAGTTAGAAAAAGTTTTCGCTAATTATACTTTAAGTCTTACTTTTATAGTTTTAGCCACACTGGCAACGACAACGCTGTGCTGCATGTATACATTGATGCATCTACCTTCAGTTTTTGCTGCTGTCATAATTATAGCTGAAATATTCAATCTCTATTTGTGTTTCATTCCTATTTGAAGTCTGGATATCAAATCATGATCTGAACTTTTATTTGAAGGTCAAACAGAAAGTGAAAACAACTGAAATATCAGGAATTATGGCTCTTTGTACAAGAAAACTGTATAATCACACCTATGGTGAGCGCAGTAGGTCAAAGTTGTCTTTGCATTAAACTGGATCTTAATAATGAACAAAATTATAAAAAATAAAAAAAATTTGATAAGTTGTGATAGATAGAAATTTTCCAAATGAAGAAAACGTAAACTGTCTGTGAGGGTTGCAAGGCTCAGAGAAATGATACTGTGAGTAAACAAGTAAGCAAAAGAAACTCGAAGATGGAGACAGAACCACAGCTTCACATGTTGTCACCACGTAATGACAGAGCACATACACATATACATACACACACAAACACACGCCCAGAAGGACACAATTTTTTCTTGCACTGCGCACCAAAACTGTGTCTGTACACTCACTAATCAGGGCTACACGGTATAATTATCTCTGGTGTACAGTGCTCTGTGTGTGTGGACACCATAGAATAAGACAGGGCAGACTGAGGGACTAACTTCTGTAGCATTTTGCTGGTTAAAGACAACCAGTCTTAACAAAAGTCAGTTTTTTTCAGCCTTCAACTTTTTCTCATCTTATGGAACAAGATTTATTTTGCTTTTAGTTTGAAATTTTTATAGTACAAGCTTTACACTGCTCTTCAACACACACACATAGTCCAGACACACAGTTACATCAAACCATGTTTAGATCTGTAGTTTGACCAGCTTTCTTCTGTCTGCATGTCGTCTTTCTCGGCTAATTGAATCCTGAAAACCTCACAAGCTCAAGTTTTTTTCTTAAAGCTTTCTCTTCATCCCTCTTTTCTCAGATCACTTCAGTTTGTTGGGCAAAAATATGTGTAGTATACTACAGTTTGTTTGAATGAAAAGAAGGCCTCATCACAGTGCACATCTGTTCCACTACTAATCATCCCATATGATGAGTGTATGAATGTGTACGCTCTGTCATTATGTGGTGTTTAACCACTTCTGGATAGGGAATCTCCAACTGTTGAGAGAGAGGGAGGCAAATGATGGGAGGGAAGTCGACGAAGCAGAAGCAGACACAAAGGTGCCATTTGTCTTCTTCTTCTTCTTCTTTTTTTTTTTTTAAAATCGCCTTCCTCTGAATGGATGACAAACAACACTTACACATTAGGGTTACGATGTTTTAAAATAAACATGAAATAATGCGCTGTAACCTTTTTGAGGCGAGACAAGTTAGCTTATGATCTGCAATCTATGCTGTTGACTCGACTTTTTGCCATCCATTTGAATGAAATGCAGCCACCGCGACAACTTAGTTTGCAGCCAACTTAGTTTGCAGCCAACTTAAGGGGAATGTTCAGGAAACATTAAACTAAGTTCAACGAGTTTAAAAATGTGAAACCGGTCGTCTGTTTCTCCCGCTCTAAAAATATTGGATGAATCCCAATAGGCTGTTGATGTAGCACTTTACAGTAGCAGTAAAGGTGGTAGGTAGGTGGATGGATGGATGGATGGATGGATGGATGGGAAGGTCGGTATGTAGGTAGATAGGTAGGTAGGTGGATGGATGGATTATTCATCCGCTTGGGGAAATTCAAGGTATCCCGTAGCTCACACGTGACATGCAGGTAGACAAAAGGACAATGAACAAAAGAGTGTGTAATTGGCGTGCAAATCATGCTAGTCGAACAAATCACAATAAACAGTGTAGATTAGAACCTTAAAGTTACAGTACATATTATCTACCAACTCTGAAAAGGTTGCTGTTGTTTCAAGTTAGTTGTAAAGCAATCTAGAAAATTGCAGAAGTTGCAATTATAATCTAATATATGAAATCAAGAAAACCGGGTTAGCATCTCTGTGTTGGCATTGCAATCTGTGTAGAGTTTGTGCAGTTCTTTCATTTTTGTGAGGCTTGTTTGAGTTGGTCCCAGCACGTCACTTTGACTGTCAAGGAGGTGTTTGAAGGATGTGCTGCATCGGGTTCTAGTTGCAAAGTTAGCAGCAATAGTCAGACTTAGTTGGATTGGATGTTAGAGATGCTGGAGGCAGTCATATCTTACTTTGAGCCCTATGTGGAACTGAGACTTAAGTATAAATGTGGATGAAGAAGAAATATAGTGCATAGAGGGATTAAAAGATTGATGATAGTCTTCTCCTTGCTGTGGCTGTACAGAGAAGAGGAGGATGAAAGTCATCCATCCTCTCCATGACTCTACTGTGGTTACTGTGTTTAGAAGCTAGAAGGAGAGAGGTGTAGTGAGAGGAGGAGCAGAGAGGCTTATGAAGAGAACACAGAGAAAAGTAAATTATATGATGAACAAGCAGTTAAAGGCCATTATGTTGAAGAGACAAGAAAGAGAAAACAGATGTTGAAGGAAGGTGAGAAGAAAGAAGAGGTGAGGAGCAGGGAGGTTTACGGTTTCAATGTAAGTTTTCACGTGATTTGGTCAGACAGCTGCTTCCCGTCGAGA